CAGGAGACTTGTGACAGGAGAGCAAAGGTCTGTGAGAAGCGGGTATATGCATGGAGGGCCAGTCAGGGAACGGAGGAGCTTAGGGTGGCTAGGCAAACATTAAAATTTAAACCAGGTTGGCAGCCAAGAGCAGTTACAATTAAAGCTAGGTGTTTTCCTAGTTGAAAATGTCTAGTACATAAAGTTTTCAGTTTGTTAAATAGGTTTTAATGGTAATTCTTCCTGGTTGCCAAATTGGTTTAAATTTTAAATGACTACCCTCTCCTCACTGGCCTGCTGCCTTCCAATCCACGGACACTAAATACATAAATCGGGGGTCTGTACTGCTTAAATTTAGGCCTAGTGTTCCACATAGAAAGCAATGCCTAGTTACTGTCATCGGAGAGGAGATACAATGGACTATGATGTTCACTGGGAAATATGGAAGAATTAGGGTGATCAGAGTGTTCATCCCTCAACATTCTCATCACTGTCGGAGAGAGCATCGTGAATCTTGCTAACGGCACGAACAAAGCTATGTAAAGTTGTTGAAAGAATGGCCACACAGGTCAAGGATTAAAAGTCCTACACAAAAAAGGGTTCTGGCCACAAGGACACCAGAATGTAGGGAAAGCCCATGTGATGACTCATAACTGATCTCAAAATGTTCCTGTACCCCTAGAAGTAGAAGGGATTTCACAGAATGGAGAATTGTGTCAAATGAGCCTCTAAGCTTCTCAGCTTATGGAAGAAGCTAACTAGCCCTTTGATCCATCTGTTGCAGCTACAGATGCTAACCCAGACAGCTCTTGGTTCTTTCTAGGCCTCAGGACAGAGACTTCCCACCAACATCTGAGAAATAAGGCAGAATTTGCAGGGGAATTGGGCCCATTTAAGCTTATCCAAATATCCTGAATTTAAATCGGGCAGAGTAACGGGTGCAGGCTTCAGACCTGACACCCACGGGGCAGTCTGCCCAGTCTACTTGGCACCCTCAGGAAAGGGCAATCAAGCACTTGTGAAATGTTCATATCAGAGGGAGTCCCCCGCAATCAAATCCTCCTTGGACTGGTACCAGTTCTTTGGTTTCTTAGTCACAGCTCCAAGGCCTAGTGCTGAGAAAACTCTTTTCTCTTGAGAGCAGCTAAAGGAGGCTGCTAAACGTGTGAGAGAATGTTTGCCCTATCTGAATCAGATACAGCAGAACCCCTAAACTGAGGATTGAGTTCATAAAACAGAATATCTCAATTACAGTAGGTGCAGAAGTTGCATTACATGGCTTTCTTCTTGTCCTTCAGACTACTGCAAACAATCTCCAATGCACTGAAGGCATTGGAATGTGAAGGAATGTTGACCTGCTCTTCATAAACATCACTTCCCCTCAGTCATTCCTCTGCCTTCCCCATGGGAAAAATGGTTCATATAACTGGTTGTTTGTAAGATTGGTGTTCAGAAAAGATTCTACTGTAGTCAATACTCGGGCAGTCTAGGCATAACACAGTGCTTTAGAACGATACCTTTCAGAAGCCTTCAAGTCTGTGGAAGGTCACAGAACTGACAATAACTTCAGATCAAAACTGACTTGGAAATGACAAGCACTATTGAGGAAGGTTTTAAATCTAAAGAACTCACTCGAGAGACTTGAAATAAAACCACATCTGACAAGCTCAGGTTTTTATTTTTTGCAATGCAAAGTCTTTGCGCTGTTGTCTCAGATCCATTAGGGTACTGGCATAAACCCAATTCAGATGGAACAGCAATTGGGGATAGGATATTTCTTGATGCAATGGGCATGCTGATCTTTGAGCAGTATGATGCTCTCGTCTTAAAATCAGATTTATTTATTTTAAAACCTGAGTGTGCTGACTCTCAATAACTGTGAGAAATGACTGGACTAACTAACACTGAACTGCAGTAAACACCCCGATAGGAATGAGGGAGTAAAACACCCTCTTAAAAGGAAGCTGTGCAATTGCTAAACAGCTACCCACTAGTAAGCCAAAAAATGACAATGATAAACTAAAGGAACTCTGTCCAAAAGACAGCTACAATAGGGCTTGTAAAGGCACAGTGCAATATTTCACCTGTAAATCATTGTTGTTAGAAGAACTATGGGTGGTTGTGGGATCGACATGTTTGCAAATTCAGACCTGTGATTGGGTGCTTACAAGGTCCCAATAGATATTGCTTTTTTTGATAGTTCTGAGATGCAGTGCCAGGGTGAAATTCCCACAAGTGGAGACAGACATAGGCAGTTCTCAAAGGAAAACTAAGGTTTAACTTTGCACAGTACATGTATCATGCAAAGGGTGAAATTCTGCTGTCAGTATATATTACCTAAAACATACAACATTTACTTCATTAATGCCTTCATAAAACTGCAGCACTCCAAAGCAGGGCAGAGAAAGTAGGAAGGTGTTGGTCCCTGTGAAGCTCCAAAACCTTGCAGGATAGTTACTGGTTAGAGGAGCTGAGCATCCTACTTCACTATTTAGTCCTGCAGGACAGGGAGACGCAGAGAGATTTGGGGCCATGCAAAGCAGGCTTCAAAAAGCAACAGAAGCGGAAGACCTTGTGGGGCTCAGAAAACAGCTCCTGGGCTGTGGATGTTGGCAGAACAACAGGCAGATCCCCCTGCTTTTGTAATGTATTGAAATTTGTATGTTTTTAATATTTTGAATTTGTTTTGAGGTGCAGATCCAATGATCTAATACAGCATAGCACAACTGAACGCAAAACCTGAAATCTATTAAAGTAAGTTCATGGAGGATATGGCCATTGATGGCTTTTAATCAAGATGACCAGGGATGTAATCCCACGATTGAGTGTCCCTAAACCTCTGACTGCCTGAAGCTGGGAGTGGACGACAGGGGATGGATCACTCGATGACCGCCTGTTCTGTTCATTCCCTTTGAAGCACCAGGCGTTGGCCACTGTCAGAAGACAGGACACTGGGCTAAATGGATCTTTGGTCTGACCCAGTATGGCCGTTCTTATGTTCTTATATGTTAGAACCCAAAAAGAGAAAAGTTTTGGAGCTATAAGCTTATCCTGAGAGAAAATACTGGTAAACTCAGAAACAAAGTTTTATTGCTCCTCAGGACAGAGAGACAAAGAACATATGCAAGGAAAGGGCTAAGGGGGAAAAATAAGGAGACTAAAAGAAGCCCCAAAAGAATCACAGAAGGATGAAGTATTAGTGAGAAAATACCCTTAAGAAATAAGAGGAAGAAAACATATATATTACTCTTTTATTTTAACAGACCATGTCTGGTACCGTTCATACCTGTCAGATCCAAGAAGCCTGAATATTCTCGTACTGTCAGAAATTTCCTGTGTGATCTATTTAATGAAAACATACAATAATTATTCATGTAGCAAGCGCAGTTATTTTTGACCAATGTATCATAACATTTATTGTAGCTAGAGAAAGGAATTAATGCTCACTGAATTAACCAATTTAGGGTAATTGCCAGTCTAAGTTGGTGAGAATCTGAGAATTCTTTAAATCTGTCCCTTTAAACAAGGGCCAAAAGAAAGGACCATTTTCCAGAACTTTCTGCCAGATTATGCAAAATATGAAGCTGAGGGCACATCTTCACTACCCACCAGATCGGCGGGTACCAATCGATCTATTGGGGATCGACTTATCGCGTCTAGTGAAGATGCAATAAAATCGATCCCCAATGGCTCTGCTGTCGACTCCGGAAATCCACCGCGGCAAGAGGTGGAAGCAGAGTTGACGGCGGCGCGGCAGCGGTCGACTCGCCGCCGTCCTCACAGCCAGGTAAGTCGACCTAAAATACGCAACTTCAGCTATGCTATTCACGTAGCTGAAGTTGCGGATCTTAGGTCGACCCCCTCCCTCCCCCCCTGTAGTGTAGACCTAGTCTTAGTCACTTTAACTGGAGGTTCTTCGAGATGTGTGGTCCCTGTCTGCATTCCACAGGAGGGTACACATGTGAACCATGTGCCCGAGTGCAGAGATTCTAACAAGCTGTATCTATGGGCCCACACACAAACAGTAGATCTCCTCGTGCTCCGGAGTGAGGGTATAAGAGGCCCTGTTGGGTCAACACCCCCCTCAGTTCCTTTTCTTACCACAGATTCAACGAGATCCAAAGCAGAGGGGATAGGGGGTGGGTAGTGAAATACAGACAGGGACCACACCTCTGGAAGAATGTCCAGTCACAGTACGTAACCTCCATTTCTTCTATGAGTGGTGGTCCCTGTATTTATTCCACACACGGGTGATCGGCAAACAGTGCTCAGACTGGAAGGGAACGTGAGGACTGCAGATCCCAGTAACTTTTTCCTCAGGTAGACGGACTTGCGCTAGCTCTGACCATGCTAGCAGGCCAAAAATAGCAATGCAGCTGCAGTGGCTAATGGCCCAAGTACACTCTCGCCCACCCCAGGTATGCATTTGGGCAGCTAGCCCAAAACACCGCTCATGTAGCTGTGTCTACACTGCTATTTTCAGCACACAAACTCAATCAAAGCTAGCATGGGTATGTCTATCCAACCTGGAAATTACACTCCCAGTTGGAGTACACGCGTGTGAAGGGTTGGATCACAGAAACCCCCTGGGAACTGCCACCCGATGTGCCAAGACTACTTCTACCCCTGCCTTCCCTGCCAGCTGGGGGGTAAACTCATAAATTTGGGTTTAGAGCCCATTGGGAGTTGGGCATCTGAGCGTTAAAGACAGGAACATTTCATTTAGCTGCTTTCAGGTAAACCTGCAGCTTTGGGGCAAGTAATTCAGACCCTGGTCTGTGTTGGAGCAGACGGGAGTGTCTGGCTCAGCAGGACAGGGTGCTGGGGCCCTGAGCTGGCAGGGGTAGAAACAGTCTTGGCACATCGGGTGGCAGCTCCCAGGGGGTTTCTGTGCTCCAACCTGTCACAACGCGTATTCACAGAGGGAACTGTAAGCCTGCCTTCCTAGCTAGTGGTACGACACTACCTGGTGGCAAGAATGTCATTTTGAAGTCTGAGGTTTGCCACAGGGATTCAGATGGATTGTAGGGAATAGAGCTATGCCTACAGAGCCTGATCCAAAGCCCACTGAAGTCAATGTAGATCTTTCCAATGATTTCAGGCAGCTTTCGCTAAGGCTCATTATGCCGTGGAGATCAAGACCAATACCGCTAACCAAAACAGTGCAAAGAGAGAACAGAAAGCATGGAAAACATGTACTGGACAACAGCACTATTAAACAAAACCATACTGCTATTTCAAAAACAAATGATGGGAGTACAATAAAATCTGTTAAATATATAACCATGGTAAACAGAAAATGTAATAGTCCAACATGTATTTGCTTTACAGGGTGCCAACACTTACAAATAGATTTTTTTGTGTTGCAGAGAAATCGTACTATTGTAATAAGCTTTTATTTAGGTGAGCACCAGGGCACTGCATAAAACTGCTGGTGCATCAGTCTAGGAGGTCAACTGGAAAAAAAACCCCGTCAAAATATACTCCCAAATTCACCAGCTAATTCTAGTTCAGCCTGTGTGTGTCATTTACAAATTTCTACCTACTTCTGGGAATAGAAACAATTCTTCCCTAGCTTCTCTCTCAGCCTCAAGGAGTAGCAGCTTGAATAGTTTTTGAAGGTTAATTTATTTGCATTTAGGACTTATTGGGAGAAAGTTAATTCAAAGTAGTAAATTCTGCATTTAGTTCTAACAGTCATTCTTGCCCATTGTAGCAGTAAACCCAAAATGTAGGTCAAGTTCCTGTGAAAGTTCTGTCTCCTCAACTCACACATCTCTCCCTATTAGTCAACAGTTTTACTGCTCCACTAGAAGGCAGCAATGATGAGAGGTCATGGCTATGGTGACTTTTTAAGTAGCTAAAAACAATCCCATCCTGAGATTCAAATGTCAGAGCAGAGAACTTGAGCTGATGATGTGTTCAGAGTGACCTGTGTTGCTAAGCAGATGGGCTTGCTATGTTTTGCACCAGTTAGAGCTTTGTCATGGTATGTGGGTTCATTCCTAGATACGATCTGTAAGTATCACTAGAAGGTAATGAATGTATGGATCAACATGGCCAAGGTCGGTGTCTGATAGGATCAGGTGTAGTGTTCTGGGCAGCTGCAGATTAAAATTTTTAACAACTGTGGCTATTTGGGTATCTAACAGCAGTGAAAAGTCAAACAGACCCCAAATTTGCAGACCAACTTACCCTGAGGGTAGAAAGAAAGAAGCAAAGGCAGCAAGTTTTCATCAGAGTGCATAATTCATTAACTCGCCTGACTGAAGTTATAACATATTATAAAGGCACATTTACAGTCATGAAATAAAGAACACTCTGCCAAGGGCTCAAAGGGTGGCTTTATGAGTTGTGCAAAACTAAATTGAGGCCCCATCCCAGAAGTGGGTCCTTTACAGATGGATAAAGATTTGAAAATCCTTTTGTAATTTTTTGACCATACTACTGTATGTGGAAATACTGATTTATTATCTCTCAGCACATGATATGCTGATATAGCTGCTAAATCAACCTTCAGCAAAGAATCTGAAATACCTTCAGTCTTTAAATGCAGTAAGTATTCCAAAATACACCAAAGCCAGTTCCGAACCTTCAGGTTTGTTCTGTATCCAACTCACAAACCACGATAATTTAAATTGGTATCATCTTCTGGTCAATTGTTTTCTAGAGTTAATGAGCACTTGAGACACATCTAAAGGATAAGCTCTTTCAAGGTCCATTAAAGTCCAACAGCCCATGCTGGCAGGGGCAGAGATAGGGGATCTGGAAGAATGATCTTGCTCTGCTACTGCAACACTAGAGCCAGTAATACTGGGAGCATCTTGTAAAATCCCAAGTAGGTTCATGTACCACTCCTGTCTGAGCCACACCAGAGCAACTAAAGCCATTTTTGCCCTAACCTGTATTATTTCCTTCACTACTTTCTGTATCAATGGAAAGGGGGGAACCTTTCCCCAATTCAGTATAAATGAGTCTAATATGGACTGCACATCCTTTTCTGCCCTTGTCCAGAACCGACGACTCTGTGTTGTGACAGGATATCCTCAATTGCTGAAGACCTTGTGTATCATTTCCTCTTTTACCAACCACTCATGTAACTGTATTGTGTCTCTCTGCTCAGTTAGTCTGTCCAGTTGTCCTTTGCGGATAGTCGCAGGGCTACTGGATAAACATTGTGCTGTAGGCACCAATCCCATAGCCTGATTGCTTCATTGCATAATTATGATGAATAAGCCCCTCCCTGCTTGTTGACAGAACACATGACATTTATATTGTCCATTACCACCTGAACTACCTTCCCTTCAATATGAGGAAGAAAAGATCTGAGAACCAGATGAATCACACTCAGCTCCAATATGTATAGCTGTAGTCTCCTTTCCTGGGAGTTCCAATGTCCCCTGAAGCACAACGTAGTTTAGATGGGATGCACCCAAAGTGAATGTCAATGACAGGGCTGGACGACTGAATAACATCCCTCTTAAAACATTTGTCCTCTGAGACCACAAAGTCAAAGAACATAGTGAGTTTTGTGCATATCGTCCATACCAGGGCTGTAATTTACTGCCAACCAGGCCCGCAATCAGATTACCCTGATGGTCCGCATGCGGCCCGCGGTCTGCAGGTTGCCCACCACTGGTCTAAAGGTTCCATATTCAGGAGTAAATCCTGCTGTAGGAGGCTGAAACCTAGACAAGGCCTCTGGTTGTCTAGCTCTATCCTGGCCCTCTGGTTGTTAATACAACCTCAAATATGTTACTGATATGATCAGCAATATCCCTGGAACCAGCAAGTGAAGCATCACAAACAAAGGTAGTTTTACTCAGAGAGCCTGAAAGGAAGGGAAGATTCCTGAGCTAAATGAGGTATTACTTCCATACTATCTCTCTTCAGATGTAAAAAGAAGAACAGGAGTACTTGTGGCACCTTAGAGACTAACAAATTTATTAGAGCATAAGCTTTCGTGGACTACAGCCCACTTCTTTGGATCCAATTCTTCAGATGTAGGAACCTTAGTGAAGACATTTGACAATCTTTTTTCCTTTCCATAGAGGGTCTTTCCCAGGGATCCAGACCATTGTCCATTCCAATGGGATGAATTTCTGCTACTACTGTATCCATATTTTGCAGTTCCGATAATGGCTGCGTCTTCAACACTGTCTTTGGATCCAGCAGAATTAACGGATCCACAAATTGAGATCTCCGTTTAGATCCCTCTCTTTGGACTGCTTTCATTTTTAGTCTGGGAACCAAAGTAGACAAATCCCAGTCTGACAGACCCAATGTCGAATAATCCATATGGGATCTGGCCTGCTAACAGTGGTCATCTTCTCTCTAGTCATAGTCTTCAAAACCACTACAGATGGATCAGATGGCTTTTCTCATGGCGTAGCCTTTGGCTCAGAGGCCAGTGCCGATGGCACCTTGCAGGTTTTTGTCAATGACTCCTATGTCCCGAGCACCAGGTGTGCTGTAGGCACATGAGAATTTCAGTGCCAATTCTGAGTCTTCATAAGCACCTTAGATTTAGCAGCCATTGAACTTGGAGCTGACTTGTTTTTTGCCTTATGTTCTGAGCTCTGGGATACCTCATATCCAACAGGTCTGTCCTTACATGCTGTAGGAATTAACGTACTGCAGACAGAGCATCTGGATAAAGAATGTCCCTCACCAAGACATGCCAGACATCTTACATGGAAGTACAATGCAAGAAACACTGCCAGAAAAGAAGCACATCTTTTAAAGCCCAATCTTCTGTTCGTCAGATCCATGACTAACACTAACTCAGCTAAAAAATTAATTATCATTAATACATAATTATAATAATCCAATATAATAAACTACACTAATCATTATCAATTGCACTTTTAGGAGAAAAGCTCAAGATCAAAGAGATCCGAAAAGGGTTGCTTCCATCTGATGCAGTGGTTGGAAGGAACTGAGGTAGGCAGATAGTACCATGCTCCCTTTTATAGCCATGCCCTCAGAAGATTAGGGAACGCTGATGAGAGATACAGGATGGGGTGCATGAACACTCCTATGGACACTCTTTGGAGAGAGTTCCAGCATATAGGCTGCAGAGGCCAGCACAATCCAGGAGTAAAAATATGCAGAAGGCACTCAAAGAATTAAAAAGAGTCTGATGAATTGTACAGAATACATGTTTGGCAGCTCACAAAGACAAACCAAACATCAGTCAAAAAAGTAACAGCATTTTTTCAGCATGGTCACTCATTGGATATTCTACATAAATAATGTGACTAATGAAATGGAAGATCTAAGTTTGATATGATTTAAGTATATAGATAATAAACTGTATTTAAAGGTGACTTGCTCACTCTCTCCACTGAGGTTTACTATTTGGCAATAGGAACCTGAATTTCCTAACACTTAATGCTAAAGTTGAATGCATGAGCACCCAGTTGTTGGGAAATCCCAGCTGCTGGTGTTAATAACTAGGGGTATTGAAGTGATTCTTGGAATAGATATTCAGATGATTTTGGCTAAATGTTTCCCCAGTATCCATTCCAAACGGAATACTCAAGTCAGTAGCATTGTGTACTCCTTATATTTTGCTGCAGCAGCATGGTTAACTTTGTTATTCTTTTCTGCCTCTTCTTATGTTAGGAACAACACGGGTGGTGTCAGCTCCTGGGACCTGTAGCATGTGAACTCAGCTGTCTCTTTTCATGATTGAGAGAGGCGAGAAGGCACTATTCTCCCCAGGCCATGCAGCTTTTCTTTTCAAGGCTGGAGGGGTAGAAGTTTCACTGCCTTTTCAAAGCACACACAGCTCATTTAACAGAGGTGAATTCCTGGTCTGTGCTAATTCATCTTTTTGGACCGGATTCTCCACTGCTTTTCTCCCCACATGGCCATTTACACTTGTGAGTGTATAACACTACCACACCAGAATGTAAGGCCACCGATATACCTAATGTAGATTCCACAATATTCCACTAAGGATGAATCTGCGCCTTGGCATTCTGTTCTTTGGAACAGTAAACTAAGGTCCATTTGTTTTCTGTGAGGGGTTTCAACATTTAAAGGTTAGTCTTGGGATGACAAGCTGAATTCTTCTGGTTTATCCTGAAATTTAGATATTGTTGAAACTTAAATGCTTAAATGCTTAAAATATCTAGCTGTTCTGTCCAACAAAGAATCCTATTTAAACTTATTCAATTCAATAAAGCAATATTCATTTACTCTTATTCTTGTTGCATTCTAACTGAATTAGGAGCAAAAAAATTGTGGGGAAGATATTGCACTCACCTCATTTGACCTAAAACTCCTTCCTTGCATTCCATGCTTCCAGAAAGCTAAAACACTGTCTTGTAGGCAAACTAGAAGGAAAAGAACACTTGAGTTAATTTTGGTGACAACCCCAATTTATTCTTTCAAGGCAAAAAATATTTATTACCTTCCTATCATGGCAATTTTACATTCTGTCTGTAGACATTTTATAATTACACCAATTCCCTCACAAAAGATCCCAAAACGTTTCACCAGAATGACTTAACCCACCTCAAGCTGGTCAAAAAAGGGCTTTACAAACACTGTTCGTTAATATGAGCCCTGTGTTATTTGTAAAATATTAATTCATTTTCTCAAAGAGTTTAAATCTTTAGAAAATGTGCAAGATTTCCAGGCATTGGAACTTTACAAAAACTTGCATTCTATCTTTTCCTCCCAAATTCAAGAAAACAGCTGAAAATAGTCTACAATTAAAACCTTTTTATTTTTACCCTCCTCTTCCCATCCCCTCCCCTCATTTTCTTTATTGTCTTAAAAAAAGGCAGTTATATCATAGGTTCCAACTGTCTTTTAAATTACATTAAATGCTAATTACAGAAGCAGCAAAGTAGCTTTTTAAAAGAGAGTTGTATAAATCTACTGGGTAATAGTATATTAAGGATTTAAAATTCATTTTCTAGAGACAGAATGACTTTCTTTTTTACCTTAACAGCCACTCAATGCTCACTGACAGAGGGCCACTATCATGTAACTCATATCAGGCCTGACACACTCACTAATTCCAACACACTGTGGTAATAATATGGATCCAAAAGGTATCTTGTAAGATATCATATGTAAACGGGTAAAACGCCGGTCATGAATATCACTGTGCAGTGTATGCACTGGTTGTGTATAAAGAATTGAGTGTGTGCTGGAAATGTGTTCTTAAAATGAGTTTTGGAGGCAGTGTATAAATCAAGCCTGTCAGACAAAGGAATGTGGATTCCCTTGTCTGACTGGCTTGATTACAGGCATAGGACAATAAAAGTACATTTACATACAAGGTAAACAACGCAATGACGCTAACAAGCAAGGGAGGAAACAGCGTAGAAAGTACTCCAGAGACAGAGTCTGCAAATCCAGGAAGTCTTCCTAGTTCTGGAAGCAAAGACAATGGACTCTAAGTAATATAAGGGGAGGAAAAAGGCACTTAGGCCCTGTCTACACTTAAAATGCTACAAGGATAGGCGCTACCTACGCCAACACCAGCAAAGATAATCCACCCCCCTGAGGCCCCTGACCGATATACTTAAACCAACCTAATTTTCTAGTGTAGAACAGGCCTTATTTATCAATCATTTAAGGGACAAAACAGGCCAG